AATGGCCCTAAGAGAGCACCATGGCGGCCCAAGATGGCCCCAAGACACCCTCCGAAGCATTCCAAATCGTGACTGGGGCGTTCAAGGAGACCGCGGTTAGAGGCAGGTTGGCCTTAGGAAGGCCCAGAGGCCCCCAGAACACCCAGGAGGCCTCCAGAAGGCTTCAAGAAAGCCTGAGAATTTTGGTAAGGCCCCCAGAGGCTCTCCAAGGAGGAGCCTCCGCATAAAGAGCTGAGGAGGATGGGGAGAATGCCCAGGGTATGGTGAGAATGAAGAAAAATAAGCATGGAGGAAGGACAACCAACAACATTGTTAGATTGGCGATGCCAGAAAAGGCAGCAAGGAGTTATCGCTAAATTGTCGGCTTGACCTTCCTGCCATTTCCGTCTGCATACCAAACTCCAAGGACCAAGGTGCATGGCGCGAAGCGCCACTGCAGTCTTGTATATATATATATATATATATATATATATATATATATGTATGCGTGTGTATGCGATCTCTCTTCCCCAGCCGCCGCACTCATTTTTTTCGCTCACGTCTCTCAGTCTGAGTTTGGCTCCTCGGTCCGGCATTATCTGTGTGGCCTGACCTCGCTGCTCGGACAATTGGCATTGCCATCGCGGTCTGCAAGAGGATATCCTGAGATGCCACTGTTTTAGTCGAGAATGCGCTCGCATGCTTGCGAATCTTCAGTTTGACCTCTGTGTATATCCCCAATTTCTCGCTTCCCTATTGTGTTTCCCTGTCCCCAGCATGGTGTACCCCTTGCACATGTGGGCTGACGGTACACATTTTCAGTTGGCAGCCGTTTCTTTGTATTGTGTGCTAAATTTTGCGACGGAGGATTGGGCGGGGGAGATCGGTTGAATTGGACTGATGTCGAACATAGATTGTCTGGATGTTGGGCAGATAGTTTGTAACGCAAGATCCAGGGCCTGATCTGCACGGATTGCAAACTGGGGGGCAGGGAGTTGGTTAGACTCGCAAGCCGGCGTTGACAGGATTCCTAATACAGTGAGTGAGCAGTAGGCTGTGCCGAAGACCTTGCCCTATTGAAGTGATTACGTCGGCGCGTTAAGAGCGAAGCAGTGAATCAGCACATCCGATTTGCAGCATGTGCCAACCAAGCACTCCCGCGGCTTCCCTAGTCGCTAGACAAATCCCTGTCACCCGAGCTGCCTCAAGCGTGCCACCAGCGGGCCAGGCAAATCGATCGCGGAGGGCGAATCACATCTGCGGCCCCCAGTCCGAGCCTGCCACGCCGAGCCATGCAGCGAAGCAAGCCCGTGCCCTTCAGGCCAGGCCAGTGTGTCCGAGCCAGCCGGACAAGAGATCCACAGCTTCCAGGCCGAACCAGCCAGCAGCGCCGATTCGCTGCACCCACGCAGAGTCAGACATGCCAAGCGATCCATTCCAGCCAGTCCGTGGCGGACAGTTTGTGGATTCCAGGCCCAAGCAAATATGCAGATCCCAGGCCGGAACCAGTCGGCCAACCGAATTCGCAGCAGTTCGGCCGCATTATCTGGCGAAGCAAGGTCGTCGCATCGCGGCAGGGGAAGGCAGTCTGAACCAGTCGGCCAAGTACATCTGCCCGACAGATGCCGACCCAGCTAGTGCGGAGCCTCCCGAACTGGACCAGCTGGCCAGGCAAACCGAGGCATCCAGGCTGAAGCAGCCACGGTTCGTTCTGCGACCTGAGTGAAGTGAAGTGACATGAAATGAAGTGAAGTGGAGTGAAGCGAAGTGGGAGCTGATTTGGATTCGCTCATCGACTCCGAATTCGAGAGGTGAAGGGCAAAAGTGGTGTTGGATGGTTTCGCCGCATGCCCATCTTGTTCGAATGGTGAGGCCAGCGCGCGGACAACATGTAATGAGGCAACGCACAGTAGACGGAAAGCTTGTCTAACGAGTAATGTCGTGGCACCCAGGCCGAACCAGCCATGCCGCACCAGCCGGCCACCCCAATCAGCGGCACCCAGACCGAAACAGCCAGGCCGAATATCCTCGGATTGTGTGCCGAACCAGCCAGAGGGAACCATATGGCCAAGGGAGGCCTGAATGCCAAGGGCCCATTCGCTCCAACCAATAGCACCCAGGCCGAACCACCCAGGCAGAACCATCCCGCCACGAAATCCCCAACACCTCGGGCCAACCTGCTAGAACGGACCAGACCAGCCAAGCTGAGCCCGCTGAGCAAAAGAATGCCCAACATCCAGAGGCAAGCCTATTCCGTCAGTCCATGAGAGCATTATGACAACATGTTTTGCAAACAGCTATTGCCACAGTGGGGCGGACTGGCCGAGCTGCAACATCTAGCTTGAAAATTGAGCACATCTCAACGCGTCTGCATTCTGTTTGAGTGTATTCCGACAGCAATATCCCAGAGGCTTACGCCATTCCGTCGGCCCCCAGAAGAGGGAAGACGTCCACGATGCGGCTTTGGGAGGCCTTTTGGAGACCACTGGGAAGCCTCTGGGTGGCTCTTTTGAGCCTTTGGGGGCCTCTTGGGGGGACCTTGGTCGCCTGCTGGCGGTCTCGGGTACCCTGTTGGGGCGGAGGGTTCGAAGCTTAAGTTTCAGCTCCTTAGGCCCCTTTTGAGCCCTCTCTTGGGTCCTTCTTGAGCCCTGTTGGGGCCCCCGTGGGCCGTCTTGGGCGCCTCTTGGGCCGTCTTGTGGCCCACTTGGACCGTTTTAGGGCCTTCTCGGGGGTTGCTTGGGCAGTCTCGGAGCAATACCGGAGGCTTCGTGAACGGTCCTGGGCGCTGTGAAGACCAAAGAAACGAAAATGTTGAACATATACGTTTCCCCAAGTGACTTGGACGATTGTTGCTTTTTGGAGCCTTTTTGCGGGTTCTCTTGGAGCCATTTTGGGGCGTCTTCCATTTCGGCAGATATTTTCGCTCATGCCAACAATCAAACGGATGGGTCGTTTCTCGAACACTGTCATGCTATTTGTGTTTTCAACGTTGTTGCAAGTTGTGCGGGCGTCTGCCACACAAGAACAGTCGATGTCGTGGTCGATTCGTTTCCAACCTACATGGGCATATCAAGTGGAGCGAGCTGGAGGTATTCAGGACCTCGCGCACGCATGATCAGCGGCCCGATTTGCCAGACCCCAAAACCAGTCGGTTGCTCTGATCACGGTGTACGCAGGGTTTGCCAACCTGTCCTGTTCAGGCGCCCGCCGATTCCTCACACCGTGCTTGCACTCAGGGGTTGTTAAGGCCCAGTCAAGCGACCACCCCCACCCTGTAAGTTTCGTTCAGTGCGTCGCCCGAGCGTCGCCTGTGCGCCGGCCCTGGTTTGCGTCTCTGTCCCGAATCCCGGCCTCCCAGAGTGCGTGGGCGACATATGGCGCGACTTCGGAATTTCTCTGGCGATATATAGGTTTCCGACAGCAAGCAAGAACCCCTGACAGGGGTTCTTGCTGCCGCTATTAGTGGGTGGGTTCCCCGGGAGCCTCGCCACGCTCCCGCTCGAGGGCGCCTCGAGCCCTGCCGCGCGCGCCTCGTGGGCGCCCCCCTGCGCCGGGTGCGTCCCCACAGAGGGCTTCGCCGCGCCTTCCCCCGTCGCGGGCGCCCCCCTGGGGCGCGTCGTGGAGGAGGAGGAGGAGGAGGAGGAGGAGGAGGAGGAGGAGGAGGAGGAGGAGGGGAAGGAGGAGGAGGAGGAGGAGGAGGAGGAGGAGGAGGAGGAGGAGGAGGAGGAGGAGGAGGGGCTGGCTGCGTCACGCGGTCCTCGTCGTGGGCGGCCCGCGGTGCCCGCCCTCGCGGGCGCCCCCCCGCTTGCGCGGGGGGGGGGGGGGGGGGGCGCACCCCGAGGCGTCGCCACGTGCTCCCTGTCGTGGGCGCCGCGTGCCCCCGCTCTCGGGGGCGCCTCCCGGGCGCCTCCCGTGCGCGGGGGGGGGGCGTGTGCCGAGGTCTCGCCGCACGTTCCGCGTCGTGGGCGCCGCGTGCCGGCTGGGGCTTACATCTCTTGGCCTGCGCCGCACGGCTGACACCGCAGGGCTTGCACAGCACGGCTCACACCACACAGCACACACAGCATAATTAGCTCGCACCACACGGTTCACACCACGTGCTTCGCACTGCATAGTTTCCAGGACATTGATCATAGAACGTTCCCTGCACCGCATGGCTCACGCAGCATAGCCGGCACCGAAATGGGTCACACCACATAGCTTGCGCCACACAACATAGCTTGCGCCACATAGCTTGGCAGCGTATACGGAATAGCGTACACAACATAGCTTGCGCCACATAGCTTGCACCGCAAAACTCACACCACATTGCGTGCACTGCAGTTCTTGCAGCACATAGCTCACACAGCATACGTTCAATTTCCACCGTGCAATAACTTACTGTTCGGGGTACCCTCTGGCTAATAGTTCAACGAATGTGAAGTTGAAACCGTATCCATGTTGCTTCAAGGGGCAACTTGCCCGACCCCGTGGCATCGAGGCGGCCTCATGTCGCCTAGGCCGCCGAGCCGATCCGTCCTTGTGCCCGCGTCGATCTCGGCAGCTCTGGGTATCATCGTCACGTTGCTGCAGGGTTGCGCGCGGTTCGAAATCAGAGGAAGATGCACAAGCCCGGATGGCCGCGGAGGGCAGGACTGCATGGTGTGTTCCGACACGTCCGAGTGCATGTCTTGCGCGCGAGGATTCAAGCCCGTTGCGGAGAGCGAGTACGAGGATGAGAGCAGGTGTCCGAACAGCACGGTCCGAACGTACCTGTGCCATCTGCACTTGATCGATGACGCCGACGACTCGAAGTGCACCTCGGACGGGAACGACTGCTACGTCGTCGGGTCGGAGCCACAGACGTGCGAGGCCAAGTACCGGATCGTGGTCATCGAACCGCAGGTCGGCAACTGCGTGCAGTACACTTGCGTCCTGGACGACGGCGACGGGCCTGGCGGTGGCTCCGGGCCCGGCGGCGGAAAGGCCCCAGGTGGTGGCGACGGGGCCCCGACAGCGCCAGGCACTGATACCACGGGCAGCACCACCCCTGGCGGCGGCGGTGGCTCCGGGCCCGGCGGGGGCGCGGCCCCAGGTGGTGGCGACGGGGCCCCGACAGCGCCAGGCACTGATACCCCAGACAGCACCACCCCTGGCGGCGGCGGTGGCTCCGGGCCCGGCGGGGGCGCAGCCCCAGGTGATGGCGACGGGGCCCCGACAGCGCCAGGCACTGATACCCCAGACAGCACCACCCCTGGCGGCGGCGGTGGCTCCGGGCCCGGCGGGGGCGCGGCCCCAGGTGGTGGCGACGGGGCCCCGACAGCGCCAGGCACTGATACCCCGGACAGCACCACCCCTGGCGGCGGCGGTGGCTCCGGGCCTGGCGGGGGCGCGGCCCCAGGTGATGGCGACGGGGCCCCGACAGCGCCAGGCACTGATACCCCGGACAGCACCACCCCTGGCGGCGGCGCTGGCTCCGGGCCGGGCGGGGGCGCGGCCCCAGGTGATGGCGACGGGGCCCCGACAGCGCCAGGCACTGATACCCCGGACAGCACCACCCCTGGCGGCGGCGGTGGCTCCGGGCCCGACGGGGGCGCGGCCCCAGGTGATGGCGACGGGGCCCCGACAGCGCCAGGCACTGGTACCTCGGGCAGTACCACCCCTGGCGGCGGCGGTGGCTCCGGGTCCGGCGGGGGCGCGGCCCCAGGTGGTGGCGACGGGGTCCCGACAGCGCCAGGCATTGATACCCCAGGCAACACCGCCCCTGGCGGCGGCGGCGGCGAACGCTAGATGCGGTGCAGCCCCAATCTGGTTTGTATGCAAGAATTGTGTCTGGTGCCCGCAATTCGGCCAGTGCGGTCTAGCCTTCTCGTCATGGACACAATCGGTACAGGCAGTCATGCGTGCGCACATGCAGCTACGCGTTCAAGGTGCGTGAACTCACGCACTGCAGCGGCAACGATGTTGGGCTCATGTGCGATGGCAAACTCCAGTGCGATGCAACACAACGCATTTGAGTTGTGTGTATCGCACTTCAGCCTGCGTGGTCATCGCGCTCTGACGCACGCTGTATGCATCCCGATGGTTTCGAATATGTTCTCATACGAAACCTAGCCACAGGAGCCCTGGGGCCGTCCCCTGCCCCAGGGGCACCCGAATCTACGACGTGAGGGCCCCCTTCCCTCCCGGCAGCTCCCGCGCCCCCCCCTCGAACTTGATTCTCTTTATATTCAGGCCAGTTTGCTTGCGTGGCCCGCATGGCGTTGCAATCGAATACGAGCGAGCAAGTGCCGTTCGACGTACGTGATTTCCGCACGTCAAGTCATCTGCGGCTTACTTCAGATTCAGGCGGCCCTTCCAGTCCATGCAAGTAAACTTGCCAGAGTAAAAAAGACAGGCTCCTCCCAAAACTCCTCAAGAGCCGCCAAGACGGCCCGATCGCCGCGCCCCCCCGGTGGAAAGGTGTCCCACGACACGAGGACTCCCATAAGACGCCAGGAGAGCCCACGAGGCCCAAGCAGCGTGACGATTTACACTATCAAGCCTGGAGCTTCGCTGTATTTGAGGCCGTGCTGCGTGACAATGTCATGTGGCGTGGCGCATAACACATGCAGCATGCATACACAATGGATCCCACGTATGTGTAAGTGTTTTCAGAAAAAAAAACCGCCGATGCGTGTTCCATGTTTGCTGGCGGTACGGCAGCGGTATGTCAACGATGCGTTGGGTATGTTTGGGCACGTGTGCTGCTGCTATTTGTTGTCTGACATCATGTATGCGTGAGGTTAGCGTTGAAGTACCCAGAACATGTCTCGTCCTGAGAGCCAACATGTCCTATTGATGCGCCTTGACCGCAGCCGCGGTTGCAGACAGGCGTGTTTCCAAGTTGCGACCGTTCCATGGAGGTGTGCATTTCCAGTCGTTTTATTCCCAGGCATTCGTTCAACTGACCTTGAGGCCAAGATAGTGCCAAGTCATGTAAACCCCCATGACTCATTACATCCATCCATCCGTCATTCCGTCATTCCCCCGCTCTTCCACCCTTCCTCTCCTTTCCCCACATCCCCACTCCTTCTTCATAGGTGTGCTCAAATCCGTCATGTAAGTTTTCTTTGCCCTTTCATCCCTCCTGCCACTCAACCCAGATTATAATTCAGTACTTTCGTCCCTCCGTTTCTCTCCCAGTCCGTTTTTTCGCCACCGTGTTTCCCACATAATATCCATCCATGCTTCCGACATGTCCTAAGCACGTTTTTTTTCATTCGTGACGCGCCCCACGCCCCCCGGCCTCACCCTCCTTATTGCCTCTGTCTTCCGTGTTGAGACTCCCTTTTCCAGGCTCGGTCAATTGAGTCTCATTCGTGACCAAACTCGTTCACACGCAAACCTCCCCATACTCAAACCCACGCACGGCCTCACTCATGCTCTGTCCGCTCATATTCAGACGCTCTTATGATCAGACCCGCTCATACTCAGTCTCATTCATACCCATGCCAAGCCCAAACTCACTCATACCCAAATGCACTCGCACTCAGACTCGCACTCAGACCCGTTCACACTGGGATTCGATCATGCTCCGACATCCCAAACTGAAGCCCATCAGTGGTAAGCCTTACCAGCGCTCAGGCCCACTCATGCTCGGACCCACTCATTGTGATCCTCACTTATGCTCAGACGTGATGCGATGTAGCAGGCCTGGACTGGCAATTGGGCTTTCCAGGGAGGAGCCGCCTGGGAGTACGGCCTGAAAACCAGCAGGGCGTTTTTTTCTCTGTGTGTGTGCGTGTCGGCTTGGTTCTCCCATTTTCGGTTCCGGGCGTCGTTTATTGAGTTAGGTGCCATTGCCGTCTCTTATTCCAGTTTGGATTTCTATTCGGGCGCATTTGCTTGGTGCGTTGCGGTGAGTCGGTTTTGCTTGTTTGTTTCATTAACCGCTATCCTATTCAAGGGCCAGCTGTGTGGACAGTGCAAGAACAGCCCTGGCCCCAGTCGGGCCTACATTGTGAGGAACTCTCAAGCGAAATGCCTGTTTGGGGAAGCCTACTTGTTGCCTCTTCTCGCAACCCGATGGTCACCGCGACGTAGAAGGCACACCGTTTGAACCTTCCAAAAGTTGGGGCCGCAAGAGGGTATGGCACGGACCCATTCGCACCCTGATTGCGGGGACTTCTCTTTCGAAATGTTCTTCTGGGAAGTATTCATGGTTTTTTGGTCACTGCTACATCAATGCGCACACGCCTATGACTCAGTGTTGCCGTTTTTGTCGTCGCCGTTCTGACGTGTTGTTCATTCCGTTTCCCTCACCTTTATTATTATTATTAGTAGTATTATTGTTATTATTATTATCATTTTATTATCATTATTATTAATATTAATATTATTATTATTATTATTATTATTATTATTTATTTATTGTTAGTATTATCATTCTTAGTATTATTATTGTTCTTCGTCCTTTCGCCTTACTTTACTTCGTCCTCAGTTCTTGTGGCAGATGATCCTCCTTGGAAAGTTTCTTCGGCGCATCACGACACCTTTTAGAGATTTCTCCTGGGTCTTGGAGGCCTCCTGGGCCTCCTGGGTGCCTTTCGGGGGCTTCTGGGGGTTTCTCCGGCCACCTTGCTGCGAACCACGGCCTCCCTCAGCGACTAGGTCACGATATGGAGTGCTACGGGGGGCGTCTTGGGCCGTCATGGGGTTGTCTTCGGGCCCAGTGGGCCGTCTTGGGACTCTCTTCGGCTGTCTATGAGCACTATTTGGTCGCGTGGGGCCGATCTCTGGTGCATCTTGAGCGGTCTCGGACGCCCGAAAGACCGAAGAACCGAGCAACCCAAAATCCTACAAAGAACTGTAGGGAAATCCATGTTTTTTTCGCGTGGACGGCCTCTTGGTGTTCTTCTGTCGGTCGTCTTCAGGCATCTTTGGGGTGTGTGTGGTCGCTTGGAGATTTCGCGGGGCCGTTTGACCGCCCGCATCACCGCCTTGGGCCCGTAGGCTAGGCGCGACAGGAGCGTCTAGAAGGCTCGGAAGGCCCGGGGATCCTTGTACACGGGCGTCCTGGAGATCTCCGGGGCTAGGGATCTGGGGGGGCGCTGGTTTGGGAGGGAGGGGGGTTGGGGGGATTATAATGCACAGATGCGCACATCTACATATATAGATATACACCTACTATTGTATATACATAATTCTACACATCTATAAGGTACGAGCGATATGAATATGTTGATATAGTTGTGTAAATCTGTACGTTGCGCATTAACATGTATGTGCATATGTATGTATTAGTACAATTGTACACACATAAGTCATATATGTTCCAAGTCTTACATATATACATATATATATATATACATGCAGGAAGCTGTTTTTAATATATATTTATATATATTTATATATGTACATGCACAAACCTAGCTGTACTAGTACAATGGCTACTGATTTACATCGGAAGCCGATGAGCCTTGATCTGGGCGCGCTGCCCGGGGTTGTGTCCCGAGCGCCACACGGAGGGCCTCAAGCCGGCCCCAGAGCGCCCCAAGACTTGGCATCGCTCGGACATGTGCATCTTTTTTCTTGGCGAGGACCATCGAGGAGCATCCTGTCTCATCTGGCGAAACGTACACGTACGAGGCCTGCACGAGGAGTGGACGTCCGAGCGATGGCGGGAAGAGGGCCTCAAGACAGGGCAAGAGGGCTCCAAGAGGCATTTCAGACGGTCAAAGACGGCCCCGATTCGCCGACCGATCGTTCCAAGACGCTCCAGAGGGCCTCCAGGCAGCCCAATAGGCCTTCAAGACGCCCCACGAGGCCCCCAAGAACCCTTCCACGAGAGCTCCAAAAGGCAAACATCGTCTTACTCCTTTCGGACAAACATACGCGTTTAGCATATGCTGATGTTCGGCCTTCACGGCGTTCAAGACACGCCTCCCAGATCACCCCAAGACGTCGAGGCCCCCACGAGTGCCCCGACACGCCCCAAGGGCCACAAGGCGGTCCAAGAAGCTCTGACGACGGCCCAGGAGGAACCTCAGGAGGCCCTCAGAGGGGCCCACGAGCGGGAACTCGAATTGAAATTTCGAGCCCTCCGCCCCGAAGGGGCCCCCAGAGACCGCCAGCAGGCCCCCAAGAGGCCCCCAGGGCCCAGGAGGCCCGACAGGGGCCCCCATGAGTCCCCTCACGCCCCCCAAGGGGCCTCCTGGCAGGCCCCAGCAGCTCTGATCTCGGAACTCACAGACGACCGCGCGCCGTAGCCGTCCCATCTCGACGTATACCGAGTCGAGGAACCAATTAGTACGGCGACCGTCAGAAAATCAACAGGCATACATGCGAGTGCAATTCTGCATGCAATGATATATGTATACATATCTGTATGCATGCCAAGCTGGCCAAGAGTGGCTTCGAGATAACCGAATATAGGCGGTGGCCGATTTCCAACATCGCTTGCTTAAAGGGATGTGTCTAACGTCGCCTTGGCATCTCTCTCGAAGAGCCCCAAGACGGCTGAAAAGTCCCGAAAACAGCCCCAGAGTCTCCCACTACGGCCCAAGATGGCCCCACGATTCCTCAAGGATGTGACACGGGCTGGGAAGAAAGGACGAGAGAGGAGGAAGAACGGACAAGTTTGTGATCTCGCGCCATCACAAAAAAAAGTGCCGCTTTCCGTCCCCGTGCCAAGAAGGTATAGTGGCCTTCGGCCCGTCCCGCCACCGTGCCTGGATTGTAGGTCGGAGACTTCTTGGATGCCTGTGCGGATCTCTTTTGGGGCGTTTCGGAAGCTTTTCGGAGGCGGTGTTGTGGTGCAGTGGGCGACCTCTCGGGGACCTCTTCTGGGGGCGTTTTCTGGCCCGAACTGGGCCTTTCGCGGGGCCGCCTGGGGCTTGTGGGGGGCCCTCTTGGGGCCCCGGGGGTCCTTTTGGGGCGGAGGGCTCGAAGCGCAGACTCCTATTCCCGCTCCTGGGGCTCTCTTGGGGCCCTCGTGGGCCATCTTCGGAGCCCTCTCGGGTCGTCTTGAGGCCCTCTCGGGCTGTCTGGGCGCCCTCTTCGCCTATCGGGCTGCCTCGGGGGCCTCTTGGGCCGTCTTGGAGCGTCGGGAGCTCGACGAGTCGAGAATGCCAAGGCCAGCTTGAAGCCTATGGGCCACTCGTGATGTTGCGCACCAGGGCCCTCTTGGGGAGCCTCTTAGGGGACACCTGGGAGCGCTCCTGGGCCGACTCGGGGCCTTCTTGGGCCGTCTTGGGGGGGCCTCCTGGAGCCCTCTTGGCCCGTCCTGGGGCGCTCGGCCCGTGGGGACACGCTGGGACACGCGACGAAGCTTAGCCAGGCCCTGGAGGTTGGAGCGCGTGCCTTCACGCGCTCAATCCGGGGGGCCGAGGGCGGCGAGCAAAAGTGGCCTGCGGTGACCTGGGCCCGTGCCTCGTGGCACCGTGGCGGAGTCCGATGCGATCGCGCCCAGAATCGCGCATCCGCTGACGATCAGAACAGAGAGGACGCTAGAACATGTATGCACAGATGGGGTTATCTAGATTTGAACAGGTGCTGGTGCCCCTCTGTGTATGTTGTACATTACTCCGTGTACCTCTCTCTCTCTCTTTCTCGCTCTCTCTCTGTCTTTCTCTCGTTTTCTTCTCCCATCCCTCTTGCTCTTTGTATGTGTCTCTATTCATATAGGTTCCTCCATAGTGTGTCTCACTCTCTCTCTCTCTCGTTCTCTTTGTGTCTCTCTCTCTCTCTGTCTGCCCCCCCCGCACTGCATCTCCCGCTCTGTTTCTCTCGCTCCCTCTCTCTCTCTATATATATATATATCGCTCCCTCTCTTGTTCATGATAGTTGTTGGTATCGTTATCCCTGCTTGTCATGTTTGTTTTGTTTTCTCTCTCTCTCTCTCTTTCACTCTTTCTTGCTTCTCTGGTATTAAAGAATGGTGGTCACGCTCGCCTTCGTCGCCAACGTTTCCTCATGGGCAAACGTGTTGTGTATGGGTGTTGCCATGTTTGCATACCATATCTCTCGAGTAACTGAGAATCCAGCCGTTCTTCTGCACGGGGGGCATGACGCAGCGCTTTTCTGTTCACCGTCGCCAGTCCCCCACAAGTGGGGATAGCTTTGTATGTGTTTCCTCCCAGCGCCGCCAGTGTAACGTATCTTCATTCTGCACAGCCCAGCATGTGAGTGTAGCGTTTGGTCGTTTGCGCTGCCCCGATTAGCAGCCGGCGCATACCACCCTATTGCCAGTGCTGGAAGCCAGCACATCTGCCGCTCCTTGTTGACAACGTTGAAGTTCATTTTGCGAGAGTCCCCTTTATGTCTAAACTGGGAAGTCTCACACTGTATAGTTCACACGTCTCACACTCTCTTTGGGGACTCCTGGTCGTATTACACTAAGCTGGTGGGAGAACCCTCAGCTTGGCGCCGTGAGCGAGTGTTCTCCGATTTTGCCTTCAGAATGAAGCTTCAGGGCAGGCTCGAAGTACGGTGTGAATCGATATCTAGTCGCGTGTTGGGGATTTGTTGTCCGATGCCATCGACACGTCCACCGCCGTCATGCGCATCATCGTCAGTGCTCGAAATCCGAGCCAGACATGGGACGACATGCCATATGCAATCGGATATTTAGATTGGGATGCGCAGCGCCTCTAGTGAATCATGCTTAACAGTGAATGACATCATGAACGCGATCTGTAATGTTTTCCAGTGCGCCCCACAATAAGATAACACCTTGTAGTGAAGGCTCTGGCGGCCTTTGAGCAAACGGCGATGACCTCCAAGGTCATAGTTCATGGTACCATTGACAAGCGAAACAGAGACCGCGAAGAGGCAAACATGAAGAACCATGATCAGACATGCAGTGGGCTTCGACCCATCCCGCCACTGTGCCGCTCCAAAGGCCCTTTCGTGGTACCACCCTCCAGCGCAAAGCAAGAGCAATGGATCGCATAACCTTTGTTCCAATGACGGGAGGGTCCTGGAAAAGTCATGCCAGCCGCTTTGCGATGAACTCCCGGCATGGCCCGGAACCCGGTGGCCCAGGCCCCGAAAATAGCATGTAGAAAATGAAATATTCGAGGTTCCAACATATTTGAAGCCAATTCGCTGAGTGTTTCGCGTTAAGGTGGCGGATACGTGGAGATGAGCAAACGTGGACAAGTTTAAAGCGACATTGCCAAATAATGCGACATTGCCCAGATACGTCGGCTGGGCTCACGTGATCTCGTAAATATCAGAAATCATGTGTCAACTTGACTTGTTTAGGATCGCTAATTGTTCGTGTGGTGCTGTGAATTGAGCTGACCCATGTTTGCTTGGACAGGCATGAGCTAATAAGGTGTGCGACGAGCCATGGTTAGCTAACCTGAACAACTATGAAGTGAAAAGCAGATGAGTGAAGCAACACATAATTCAGAACTATTCTTGGTTTGACCTGAGCGTGAACCAGGGCCTGATCCTCAACATACGATTATGCCTAAGGCTCAGCTTGTGACGAAGGTTCAGACAACGCCCTACGTGAGCGTAATCCGAAGCCTACGCTTGTCACGCTTCATGTGAGTATAAAGTATGGCCAAGCCGGCCGCAAGCCAGGACCAGTTAGCATACAGAACGCCCACAAAGTTGATCAAGACACGAGCCCATTTCCATGCGCATCCCCAAGCCCGTCTAGGCCACGCTAATGATGACAGGACAATCGACGCTGCGCAGAGCTGGGGAGCTTCACCGTCAGAAGTATATTTAGATTTCGCCAGCACGAGCAAGTTCAAGCAAGGGTAGGCGCAGCGGCAGCTTAGTGCTAACTCAGCCCGGTCACGTCGAGCTAAGTTCCAGTGCCAAACAAGGCTTGATTTGCATCCGATATACGTTTCTAGCCAGATGCAGGCGTCAAAGATAGCACCCTGCCCCTAGTGCTGCGTGCACCAAACGATCCACACGGCCTTGAACATGGGATAGAGGCCGCATTGCGTTAGATCGATTGCACGCTTGCATTGTATGTAGGTCGCCCGATACGTGACACAGCTTGCGCACGCACGGAGCAACAAAAATGGTAACATTTCCCCCTGGACACAGGCTGCTTGCAACGCCGCCTCCAAGTGCGAGTCGAAGCACGTCTGCGTAAAGGACGGGACCGTGGTCGCGGACACCGACGGGAGCTGGAAGGCCACAGAAATAGACTCTCTCACTTTTCAATTCGCCCAGCCGCTCCAGCGCTCTTCATCCGCTGCTGCTTTCGTCTCCCACAATTGGTTGTCGTCCCTGGTCGTTTCGAGTTCGCGCCCACTTGTCATTACCAGCACGGCTTCATGCCAATGCCAGAGTTCGATAACGACGTCCTCGTCCTCGCCCTCCACCCCTTCCTCATCTGCCTCCTCCTTCTCGCATCCCGCTCCCGCCCATTCCCTCCCTGTGCCCTTCCCTCCATGTGCCCTTCCGCGTGCTCCTGGGAAGGACCCGAGTCTCGATTCAGACGCATCGGTGGGGCGGGCAGGGCATGTCCTTGAGATGTCGTCGCAAGCTGCCGTGCCACAAGCTTTGACTGTCCAATCGTAGAAAGAGTTAGAGGAGTATGAGGAGGAGGAGGAGGAGGAGGAGGAGTCGTGTCAGAGGGAGAGTGGGCGGCAAGATGAGGAGGATGCAGATGAGGACTGGTGGGAGAAAAGGAGGGGCGAGAAGGGGATGATGAGTGGCTCAGCAAGATCACTGTCATTGAGATTGGATGAAACCACAGCTGACATGATGGGCTTTGCACCCGAAGATGACAAGCTTTGCGCTTCGGTGTTGGAAGGATGGGGAGAGCGATTACCAGGGGGTGCAGGGTGAGGGGAAGCATGCGAGAGGGAGGGGGGAGCGTGGGGTCGGAGAGGACCAGAGGGAGGGAGGGGAGGGTGGGTGGGGTGGGCGAGTGAGGGTTGTGGAAGGTGGACGGAGCGGGGGGGAGCTAGGGCGCACGGGCAGGGCGTTCAGGAGCAACGTTGGGCGAGGCCGTTGACGTGATGGCACTGCACAGAACCTCTCGTCTTCAAATGTATCAGGTTAATGTTGCCCATTCGGCAAATTCGTCTTTTCGATTCCAATTTGAAATATAACGATGTTGAGCACATGTGCCAACTTGCTTGAACTAAACTTTAGTAGGGCATGCCCTTCTACAGGAGAACTATTCAAATTCTGTCATCCAATAAACTGAGGACGTTTTCTTTATTGTTGTTCGACTCTGTTGGAATATGTTAGGCCGTTTTTATTGCGAAGGCCTTACGGCCGTTGCCGCCGACCCTGAAGATGACGAAAGACAACACGAGGGGGGGGGGGGGGCACGAGGAGGAGGAGGAGGAGGAGGAGGAGGAGGAGGCGGAAGGGAGTAGGAGGAGGAAGGGTGAAGGGGGAGGAGGAGGAGGCCTTATGGATGTTGGTTGGGATCTCGTGGTTGACCTCTCGGGGGCGTCTGGAAGGCAACTTGAAGCCTCTTGGGGGCCGTTGTGGGGCCTCTTGGGGCCTCTTTTGGGCCTCTTGGGGCTTCCGGAGGCCGTCTTCGGCGCATCTTGGGGGCGTCTTGGCGCCGCTTGGGGGCCTCTTGGGGCCTTTTGGGGGCCTCTTGGGGCTTCCCGGGGGCCTCTTAGGGCGGAAGTCTCGAATTCTCGGTTCCTCGTCCCCCTCTTGGCCGTTTCTTGGGCCCGTCTTGGGGCCCTATTGGGCCGTCTTGGGCGCCTCTTGGGCTGTCCTGGGGCCTTCTTGGGCCGTCTTGGGGCCCTCTTGTAGGCCTCTTGGTGCGCTCTTGGGGGCCTCTTGGGGGCCTCTTGGGCCGTCTTGGAGTGTCGGAAAGCCGAAAAGGCGAGAAGGCCAAATCATTCAAAAACCGATGTAAAATTGACGATTTTGGCGCCTGGGGCCCTCTTGGGTGTGCTCTTGGGGCTCTCTTGGAGCGTCTTGAGGGCCTCTTGGGCCGTCTTCGGGCCGTCTTGGGCGTCTTGGGGCGATCGTTCGTCGAGTCGAGGCCCTCTTGTACCCTTTTGGGGGTGTCTTCTGTCGCTCTTGGCTCGTCTTGAAGCTTTTCTGAGCTCCGGGACCCCCCGGGGAGGATGCGTATCTGGGTGGCGACCCCCCCCGGCGACCCCCCCCGGCGACCCCCCCCGGCCCCCGGCGGGGAGGGTAGGGAGGGGCTTCGCCACGACTCAACTACGACGTTGCTCAATGTCGCTTTGGCTCGCGCGCTCAAGGAGACGGGGAACGACGAAGACGACGAGGGACAACGGAGACGGAGACGACGAGGACACGACGGAGACGACGACGACGACGACGACGACGACGACGACGACGACGACGACGACGACGACGACGACGACGACGACGACGACGGTGATCCACGCAAGACGACGACACCGGGATGCGTCTTCCACACGTCGACAGGGTCGGCGGATTTGTCTTTAAGAACCCGCCTGTAGGAGGACATGCCCGACCTAAACTTAACCAACATTAGTTAGTTGAGCTGGGAACGCCCATCTTCAGTTGCCAGGCTGACGAACTGCATAAGTTAATGTTTGTCCAGGTTGAGTGCACCGTCCATTCCGTAAGATGTTCAATTCGGGGGGCGAATTCGGGGAAGCAGTTCAATCCAACACTAGCTGACCCGAAAACATGTATTTGGCTGGCCTTGGACCGCCCGTCCCCAGATTGACAGAGCCAGTGTGCTTCCTTCGGTCCAGCATGTCATTGGGGGCGAAGCCAGCCCATCCTCGACGGAACTCATTCCATTTACTAGACGGTCTACATTGGCAACGTGAGTGTGGTTGACCTGGAGCCGCGAGCCGAGTCAACATATTCAAGTTTGCCCACGTAGCCAATTCTGCTATGTCAGCCCCAGTGCCACGAGATTGACCTATGCTGACCGCTTCGATCCTGCAGGCCTCTGGTGGGCCTCTTGGGGTCCTCTTGGGGCCTTCTGGGCGCCTCTTGGGGCCGCCTGCGGGCCTCTTGGGGCGGAAGGCTTGGATGTTCGATTCGCGATCCCCCTCTTGGGCCTCTTTGGGGGCCGTCGGGGAGCTCTCTTGGGCAGTCTTAGGGCGCGTTTAGGCCGTCTTGGGGCCCTCTTGGAGGCCTCTTGGGCCTTGTTGGGGTGGTCTTGGGGGCCCCTCGGGCCGCCTTGGAGCGTTGAAAAGCCGACAAGGCGAGAACGCCCAAATCCTTAAACACATGAGGCAAATCAATGTTGTTTGCCTCTTGAGGCCCTCTTGGGAGGCTCTTGGAGCCCCATTTGGAGCGTCTTGGATGCCTCTTGGGCCATCTTGAGGCCATCTTGAGGCCATCTTGGGCGTCTTGGGCCGATCTTTGGGCGTATCGGGGCCCTCTTGGGGCGTCTTGCAAGCTGCTTGGAGCCCTCTTGGCGCGTCTTGGGGCTCTCTCGAGCCTGAACAGTTCACGCGCCACCACCCGGCAAAGCCCGCGGGGCACGCGGAAAGTTCCAGGGGGCACGCGGGAAGCTCCAGGGGGCACGATCCAAGTCCAGGGAGATTTGAGAGCGAGAGGTACGGGCCCCTCAAGGACTTCTCGGGCGTGAGGATTTGAGGCTTAGAGGACTGGGCACAGGACCTGAGGACATGCCCACTCCGTGCCCAACGGCACGGAGGCGGATATACATCTATGTGCCTTCTTCTTCTTATTGGTATTTTTCTTCTTAATCGTATTATTCTTATTGTTACCATTATCAGTATTATTAGTATCATCATTCGTATGCTGGTTAGTGCTATTACATTACTTGTACCATTATCCGTGCCATTATTATCCGTCGTTTTGTCCTTCTTAGTCTACATATATGTGTACACAGATGTGTTGTGCATTCGCAGGTCCAACATTACTCCGCCGGGAGCCCGTGGCACTGCAAGCGGTCAATCCGTACATGCTTCCCACGAAACGGAACCTTGTGCAGGCCTACTAAGGGGCCAGGGCATATTGGCTCGGAAGGTCGCGTCGCATCGCCGATGCCCTGGGGATGCGGCGCTGTCAGGTGTCCGATTCTCTAAGTTTCGATATCGCCTGCGCATCGCCGATACATCAGCGATGTGGCATGATCCTCCGACCCACTTGACACTGGCCCCATTTGGGAGGCCTCCATCTTCGGACGGGAGGAAGCAATCGCAGCTTCACTGACGCGTGCTGGGCTCTCCATCGTCCTTTCCCGTCGTCCTCCTCTCCCTTGTATGTGGCCCTCCTCGCTCTCAGGTTGCACCTCGTGTAAGGATTACTTCAGCATCGGCGCTGGTACATCCGCGGTACAATCTGGCTCAACACCAGTTCGCCCGGCCCCATGCCGCTTGGTCCGCCCAATCCTACGCGTAATTTGGCTCGACGGCCCCCCATCTGATATCAAACCCGTCAAACGTTCCCACGAGGACCCCCCAGGAGTTGTCTCATACGTTCTCACCCTCGTCCTCCTCCACCTCATCCCTCTGGTCGTGCTTTTTGCGAACTGTGGTCCCGAGGACGTTTTGAGCCCTTCCCTGGCCCTGGCTTTTCATCCGGAATCGTTCAGGTTGCAGTCCCAGGGCCCGTTGAGGGTCGCAGGATGCCGACAATTGTCAGGAGGAAAAGAAACACACAGACACAATTAATCCTCGATTCCGCAGAAAATATTGGAAAATATGGGAAGTGGGGGGGAAGACAGAAACCCAGAAAATATAGGAAAATATGTGGAACGCTTTTATTTGTGTGTATTTATTTGTGTGTCCTGGGGCCCCTTCAACTTGTTTTCGAGACAAGGCGCGCCGCCGCTGGTGCAGAGCGGGAAGGTGCCGTCCACCGAGGCACAGACCTCTTTCTGCGGCATCTCTGGACGCCCGAAATGGGTACGGACAGAATGGGCACAATGCCCAACAGCAGTTCTTGCTCGTTCTGAACAGGGCTCGCTGTCCACGCCGCCGCGGCCTGTGCCCATTCGAGACAGAAGGCCGCCTGCCCAACAGCGGCCGCTGTTGGTTTGGGACAACATTTGTTGTTTCGGAGGGCATCAACTATACACCAACACCGATCCTGGCCAGGATCGGTGTTGGTGTATAGTTGGTGCCTTCCTATTGTTGGGCATCGTGCCCATTCTTTCCGTACCCCTTTCGGGCGTCCGAATCCTCGAGCCAGTCGACTCCGCGGGCCCCCTCGGGGAAGCACGCATGCGACGCCCGGGTCTCGGGTTCGTGGATATGGGAAGGGGCCCGGGAAAGGCCGGGAAAGGGTGAGGTCAAGAGCTCCGACAGCCAGCGCACGCCCATGCGACTTCCAGATTCCCCGGGGTGGAATTCCGCGTGGGGGGCTAGATGTGTGTGTCGGGGGCGGACAAGAGGGGGGTGATGACTAGGGGGGGTGGATATCATGGCGGGGGCCATGATATTTTCCCAGATTTCATGGCGCCTCTTCTCATTTCATTACGTCCCTGGCGCCCCCGCTGGGCCGCGCACATGCCGCCGGTCATGATTTGCACCCCCCCCTCTTGGACACCCCCCTCTTGGCCGCTCCCGAATGTGTGTGTATGTGTGCGTGGTCGGGCGGGGTCCCCTGCTCGGGGGGACCTTCCCTCGGAGTCCGACAGCTCGCACCCGTGCCCACAGTGCCCGCATCCCCTCGTCCTTGCCCATCCTCCTCAGGCCTCCTCCTTGTAGGTTTGAGGGTGCAATGCTCTTGCATATCAGGAGGGGTCCCCGGGACGGGCTTCAGATTGGGGCGGTGCCACCTGACGACCGTGCGCCGCCTGCAGGTGAACGACAGCCCAACGTGCGAGGCAGGGGATGCGGAGTCGATCTGCGTGCCGAAGGCCAGCGTCTCATCCTCATCCGACCTCTGTCCGTCTCCACCCATCCGTCCTTCTCTTCCTCATCTTCCTGCCTGGTGCTGCTGCGTGTTCTTGTTGCTGTTCTTGTTGTCGGGGGTCATTCTCTCTCTCTCTCTCTCTCTCTCCCCTTTTTTTTTCTCTCTCTCTCTCTCTTTCTCTCTCTCTCTCTCTCTCTTTCTCTCTCTCTCTCTTTCTCTCTCTCTCTCTCTCCCTCTTTCTCTCTCTCTCTCTCTCCTCCTCTTTCTCTTTCTCCCTCTCTCTTTCTCTCTCTCTCTCTCTCTTTCTCTTCCTCGCCCCGTCCTCGGGTCGTCGCCTGGGGCTTGGCCGGGGTCCCAGGCGCCTGGCCCTGCTTTCGATGTCTTACGTTCCGAGCCGAAGATTTTCATTCTGGAGTGAAGCCTGCAACAACACATGGAATGCCCGGAGCCAACTGTAGGCCACTTCGTGTTCTTCGTGCTCCCAGAGCACCACTCCCGGGCCACTTTCTGAATGTCCGGAGCCAAAACAGGAGGGCGAGGTCGGGGGCAGCGTGGGGAGCGGGGGGAGGGCCCGCGCCAGGGCGAGAAGGAAAAAACGCAGAAGAGACAGCCAGGATGCCTCACCAACCACGAGGACGACGGTGAGGGCTTTTTCCAGATTCGCCCAGAGGATTCTCATCTGGGGTCCTTCCGTCGGAGTAATTTTGGAGTGAAACCTGCAACAACACATGCATCCTAATGGACCCTCTTTCCGAGTGTGCGAAAGTTTCGTGGCAAATTTCCAGCGTTGGTAACGCCAGTGGATCCATGTACTTTGATGGGCTGTATAAACATGTAGCTTATCTCCTGGACCCAAGGGAACTGGGATCCACTGTGCACTGCATGCGGAGCATAACGCTGTGACTATACGGGAATGGGGAATCCTCATCATCATCAGCATCATGATAATCACCATCATCATGAGCATCAGCATCGCCATCATCATAACAATCATCATCATCATCATCATCATCATCGTCGTCGTCATCATCATCGTCATCGTCATCGCCATCGTCATCATCATAACCACCAGCTCGAGCGTCACTGCGAGCTCCCGCCTACTCCCACCACGCCCCTAAACAATGGAGCCACTGGGAGGCTCGATTGTCACTGCGGGCTTCGACCACTCCTATTACTTCCCTCGTGACATTGGGTAGCTCGCGCGTCTCAGCGGGCGCACATCTTCTGACGTCCCCAATAACAATGATAAGCTCGACAGACGCCGCGGGCACCCGCGTGGCCTGTCGAGCTCAAGAGAAACAACCTTCGGCATGCGGAACTAGTTGGGGAGTTCAACCCCCTCAGCGGCTTAGTTCATCGGGCTCGCGTGGCAAAACAATATTTGTTGCTGGTCCCTCTCCCGCTCTTTCAGGATGTTGCTTCCGTTGTCTTGTTTTCCTATGCTTGTGTGTGCGTGTGTGTGTGTGGGGGGGCTTGTTTCTGGGCCTCCTTGCCGGCCTCCGTGGCAGGGACCTGGACGGGCTTCCGCAGAGACCTTCGGGGGACCTCCGGGGGTCCTCGCGGGACAATTTCCTGCCCCCCACGCGTTCGGGTCGGACGAGCGGGGGGAGGAGGAGGAGGAGGAGGAGGAGGAGGAGGAGGAGGAGGAGGAGGAGGAGGAGGAGGAGGAGGAGTCCGGAAACGGGGGGTGCACGAAGACTCTGATACACGCAGCTGGCCCCGGCCCGGCCGCTGGGCGCTCCCTCGGACACGCTGGCGCCTCTGGCGCTGGGAAGCGCCGGAGGAAGTATGCAGAGCGGATTCGCTCGACTCCCCCTGTCCTTTCGTCCGCGACCCGTGCTTTCGCCCGGCCCAGTACGCGCACTCCCTCCCGAAGGCCCCGCGCGCCCTCATGGTTTTGTGCTCGTGGCGCTGGCCCCCTGCAGATCCAGACCCCCATCCCAGGTAGGTGCGTCAGTTTCTGACCCTGGGCCGCTGCTAGAAGGCCCCGGGGTCCGAACCCCGTTTCCTGGAGGCCGCAGCCGAAGAGACACGACCGGCGCTATAGTTTGCCGCGCCGCCAGAAGCTTAGATTTCCTCAGTCAGAATGGTCCCGTGATGCTTCTCCTGGGGTGCGCTCTGGCCAGAATTCCGAGGCGGATCCAGACATGGGGACAGGAGGTCCAGACCAGATACCAAATACGCCCGAACACTTCGAATTTTCTTTCGGATTGTGTCGGCAGAGCGACACAAGCCGTTGAGGTCCACGGTGCTTCTCCGAGCTAGAGATTGGAGGTGTCTTGAGCGGGACGCCGAAACAAAAACAGGGGCCCACAAACCTGCCTGGCCCCTCGCGACTGGCTGAGGTGGTGCCGATTCCTTCCAGACCCCCGACATCATTTTTTCATAACGTCGACCCCCAGAAGTTTCGACCCATTACCCAGGGCCGATTTCTCATACCGAGTCGTTTTTTGACGGTCCCGAGGCCCGACAAGGGCCCCCAGAGGCCGAAAATGGCGAACAACCTCCCGTCGTGATTTTTGTTGTTCATCACTCGAGGGGGTCTGGGTGTGCTCCTGCCCTCAATCTAGGCCTCCTGGATGGGGTCCGAGTAGATGGGGTCGGAGGATCGCGTCGCATCGCCGGTGCATCGCCGATGCGGCTCGATGTGGAGCCCGTGATTCCCCACGCCGACGTCGGCGATGCATCGCCGACGTCCCCGATGCATCGCCGATGCATCGGCGGTGCATTGGCGACGCGGCGCGATCCTTCGACCCCGTCTGCTCGGACCCCATCGAGGAAGCCTCTACGCAACCCTCTGCTCGGACCCCTCGAGGAAGCCTCTACGCAACCCTCCCCCCCTGCACCTCGGCATGCAGAGGGCCAGCAGCTTCTGACTGCCAGTCGCCGCGCGAGGCTAGCCTTCTTCTTGGGCGGGCGGGCCGCTGCCTCCAGGGCGCGCAGTCGTCGTTGTGCGGGCCACTGCCCACGTCTTTCTCCGTCCTTCCCCAGGCCCCCGCGGGAGGAGGAGGAGGAGGAGGAGGAGGAGGAGGAGAAGGAGGAGGAGGAGGAGGAGGAGGAGGAGGAGGAGGAGGAGGAGGAGGAGGGGGAGGAGAGGAGGAGGCGGAGGAGGCGGAGGAGGCGGAGGAGGAGGAGGAGGAGGAGGAGGAGTAGGATGAGGACGAGGAGGACGAGGAGGAGGACCACTGGCAACCCAAGAGTCATCGACGATTTTGGAATTGACCCTCCCTCCAAGCTCCCTCTCCATAGGCCCCTACAACGGTTCATTTCCATTGAGGGAACTGCCTCTTTGGAAGACAACAGTATGAAGATCCTGAAGCGTGCCAAGACATTGTTCTCTGGACTTCAACGCCACGTGGTAACCTGACTGCTGCGCTTTGACGATCCAGAACCGTGCCAAAACGCAATTTTCGGGACCTCAACACAGCGAGTCAACATAACTGTTGCACCCACATAATCTTGAATCCTTCCAAAACACCATGTCTGGTACGTTGATCATGGGAACCCGTGACACTCCTGCAAAGTTCCCCAATCAGTGCTTGCACTGAAGGGGTCTTCGCGGATGTTGCTAGAGTTGGCGAAAGTACCTCGCCGATGTTGGTGGCACTGGGTTCCCGGGTTCTCGGGTTCCCGGTTTCCTGGTCATTGGTTCCGGGCCGATGGTTCACTACGGATCTCATTTGCGAGTTTATTACGGATCTCGGTTCCCGGGTTCCGGGTTCCGGGTTCCCGGGTTCCTGATCATTGGTTCCGGGCCGATGGTAATTTATCGATCGTACTACCAGTCTCTCTGTCGAGTTCATTACGGATCTCATTCAATGTTGAAAGATTTGGCGAAATTGCCCCGATGATTTTGGTAGCACGTTGGGTTCCCGGGTTCCCGGGTTCCTGATCATTGGTTCCGGGCCGATGGTAATTGATCGATCTCATTACCGACCTCATTGTCGAGTTCATTACGGATCTCATTCAGCCGGCCTAAAGTATTGGTCCCATTACCGATCTCAATATCGACACATCGTCCTTTTTTTTCGGTCTCACTATCGATCCTACGACCTAAGTGTCGGTCTCACTATCGATCTCAATATCGACGTATCGTCCCCACGATCGATCTCACAATCGATCCCATGATCGATCTCGCGATCGAACTTATTATCGATCTCACTACCGATCTCACGGTCGATTTCATTACGGATTTCATTCCATCGACCTGAGTATCGGTTTCACTGTCGATCTCAATATCGACAGATCGTCCCCATTATCGATCTCACAATCTATCCCACGATCGATCTCGCGATCGAACTTACTATCGATCTCACTACCGATCTCACTGTCGATCCCACGATTCCTGTTACTATTAAGTTTTTTGTTCACCTCAATCCCACGATTCACTATCGATCTCATGATCAATCTCACCATGGACCGTTCTCACCGATGGATGGACCGATGGACCGATGGACCGGTCTCAGCATCGATCTCATTTCCCACCTCTATCGATCTCACCATCGATCTCACCATCGATCTCACAATCGATCGCACAATCGATCTCGCAAGCGATCTCATTAGAGATCGCACGAGCGATCTCGCGATCGATCTCCCTATCGATCTCATTGAATCGATTTCACTCTCGGTCTCACGATCGACCTTACAATCGTCCTCTATCGATTCCACTATAGATCTCATTATCGATCTCACAATCGATCTCAAGATCTATATGACTAATTTCAAATCATCCACTGATTGGGTGTTCTCAGGCGTATTGTTGTCTCTTTTAACAAAAAACAGCGAGTGTGCGCGGCGCTAACGCGAGAGCCACATTTTGAAAAGAAAGAGCGTGTTCTACCGCTGCTGGCGGAAAACCGGGGGGGGTCACTACCGGTTCGAACCCCTCCCCCCCCCCCCCCCCCCCCCCCCCCCCCCCCCCCCCCCCCCCCCCCCCCCCCCCCCCCCCCCCCCCCACCCCCCCCCCACCCCACCCCCCCTCCGGAAAACCGGGGGGGTCACTACCGGTTCGAACCCCCCCCCCCCTCGAAAACCGAGTGGGGGTGCGGACAGTGGTGGGGACGGTGTTGGTGGGGACAGTGGTGAGGGGACAGCGGGACAGTGGTGGGGGGGACAGTGGGACAGGAGTGGGGGTGCGGACAGTGGTGGGGACGGTGTGGGTGGGGACAGTGGTGAGGGGACAGCGGGACAGTGGTGGGGACAGTGGGACAGTGGGACAGTGGTGGGGACGGTAGTGGTGGGGACAGTGGTGGGGACAATGGCGGGAACAGGGGGTGACAGTGGACAGTGGTGGTGACGGCGGTGGTGGGGACAGTGGTGTGGGGACAATGGGAATGAGGTGGAAACAGTGGGACAGTGGAGGGTACAATGGTGGGGGGGACAGTGGTGAAGGCGGTGGCGAGGACGGCGGTGGGACAATGGGACAGAGGTACAGTGGGGACAGTGGTGGGGACAGTGGGGACAGTGGTGGGAACAGTGGGACAGCTCAGTGGGACAGCGGAGGAGTCAGTGGGACAGTGGGGACAGTGGGGATAGGCAGTGGTTGGGTCCGTGGAGACAGTGGGGAGAGTGGAACCGTGGTGGGAACAGTTGTGGGAACAGTGGGAACAGTTTTGGGGACAGCGGGGACAGTGCGACAGTGGTGGGGCCACTGGTGGGGACAGTAGGGGCGGTGGTGGAACCAGTGGGGACAGCGGTGGTGAGGACAGTGGTGCTGGGAACACCAGTGGGGGATGTGATGCGGCCGGTGGTGGGGACCGGGAGTCGTTTTGCTGGCGGTGAGTACGGGGGGGGGGGGGGGGGGGGGGGTTCGAACCGGTAGTGACCCCCCCGGTGTTTCCGGATCGGAGGGGGGGGGGGGGGGGGGAGGGGTTCGAACCGGTAGTGACCCCCCCCGGGGTTTTCGAAGGGGAGGGGGGGGGGGGGGGGGGGAGGGGTTAGGGGAGGGGGGGGGTTTTGAGGGGGAGGGGGGGGGGGGGGGGGGGGGGAGGGGTTCCAGCAGGGGGGGGGGGGGGATTTTCGGAGGGGGGGGGGGGGAGACCCCCGGGCTCCGGAGGAAAAGGTTGGCAATTTTCCACAGTAGAGCGGCGGTGGATCACGCTCTCTCTTTGAAAAGGAACTGCCCTCAATCCGTGAAACTCTTGCGAATGTTTTAAACGAACGTGCGCAGCGTCGAGGCGAGAGTCGGAGGGGGGGGGGGGGAGACCCCCGGGCTCCGGAGGAAAAGGTTGGCAATTTTCCACAGTAGAGCGGCGGTGGATCACGCTCTCTCTTTGAAAAGGAACTGCCCTCAATCCGTGAAACTCTTGCGAATGTTTTAAACGAACGTGCGCAGCGTCGAGGCGAGAGTCACATTTTGAAAATGACCCGCCTTCAATACGTCAAACTTGCACATTTTTTAACCGAACGTGCGCGGCGCCAAGGCGAGAACCACATTTTGAAAACGGCCAGCCCTCAACCCGTGAAGCTCTTCAATTTCTTAAACGAATGCGCGCGGCTCCAAGGCGAGAGCCACATTTTGAAAACGACCCGCCCTCAATCCGCGAAGCTCTTACATAAGAAAACGAATGCGCGCGGCGCGAAGGCGAGAGCCACATTTTGAAAACGACCCGCCCTCAATCCGTGCGCGGCGCTGAGGCGAGAGCCGCATTTTGAAAGCCGCCCGCCCTCCATCTGTGAAACTGTTGTCACCCTTTGATCTTCAGAGTCATCACTTGTGGGGAACTCTCAGGCGAAACGCAGGGCCCGCCCTAAACATTGGCCTCCGGGTGCGACGGGGAGAAGTAATCTATGAGGAAAAGGAATGGAGGAGGAGGAGGAGGAGGAGGAGGAGGAGGAGGAGGAGGAGGCGTAGTACGCGGAGGCGGAGGAGGAGGAGGAGGAGGAGGAGAAGGAGGAGGCGGAGGCGCAGGCGGAGGCGGAGGAGGAGGAGGAAGAGGAGGAGGAGGAGGAGCGGAGGAGAAGGAGGACGGAGAGGAGAGGAGGAGGAGGAGGAGGAAGAGGAGAAGGAGGAGGAGGAGGACGGGGAGGAGGGGGAGGAGGAGGAGGAGGAGGAGGAGGAGGAGCATCAGGAGGAGGGGGAGCCCGTTCCTCGGAACCTCTATCCGCGATCCTTGGTCCTCGATCCTCGATTATCCTCCTTCCCCCCGCTCCTCTGCGTGCCGAAGGCCGGCAGCTACAAGCTCCCCGTCGCGCCGTGAGAGCGGCCAGTGTGTGGGCGGACCGCTGCCTCCAGTGTCTGGTCGCTGCGCCTACCAGTCCACGACCTCATCCGTTCATCCCCCAGGCCTCCAAGGAAGGAGGACGAGGAGGAGGAGGAGGAGGAGGCGGAGGGGAAGGGGAGGGGGAGGGGAGGGGGGGGGGGGAGGGGGAGGGGGAGGAGGAGGAGAGGAGGAGGAGGAGGAGGAGGAGGAGGAGGAGGAGGAGGAGGAGGAGGAGGAGGAGGAGGAGGAGGAAGGAGGAGGAGGAGGAGGATGGAGGAGGAGGAGGAGGAGGAGGAGGAGGAGGAGGAGGAGGAGGAGGAGGAGGAGAGGAGGAGGAGGAGGTGGAGGAGGAGGAGGAGGAAGGAGGAGGGAGGAGAGGGAGGAGGAGGGAGGAGGGAGGAGGAGGGAGGGGGGGAGGGGGGGGGAGGGGGAGGGGGAGGGGAGGGGGAGGAGGAGGAGGGAGGAGGAGGAGGAGGAGGAGGAGGAGGAGGAGGAGGAGGAGGAGGGGAGGAGGAGGAGGAGAGGAGGAGGAGGAGGAGGAGGAGGTGGAGGAGGTGGAGGAGGAGGAGGAGGAGGAGGAGGAGGTTAGAGGAGATTGGAGATGCATCGGGCGGGGCGCGCCGCCACACCGCCGCCAGGACGGCCTCCCTCTGCCCCCTCCCCTGGCCACGGTGGTGGTGGTGGTGGTTGGAGCTTCCTGGGGGCCTGAGGTGGCCCAGCACTGGCCCCAGCCAGCAGCAAGGGGGGTCCAAGTTCGAAGTTCTCAGTTCGAGCAGGTTTTTTTGGTTGTTTACCTTTCTCTCTTCTCCGTGGGCCGCTTTCGGACGCCGGAGCGGTCCCAAAACGGATCCGGGTGCCGTGAACGGTTTTTGAACGGATTTGTTCTTATCTTTCCGTTTTGGCGCATTTTCCAGACCCTTGCCCGCCCCCGGCTTGGAATATTGTTGTTTGTTCAATCCCATGGCGCGCGACAGGGCTACTGGGCCGAATTACCGCGCAACAGCGCTACTGCAACAGCGCCTGGAGGAATAGGAGGAGGAGGTCGAGGAGGAGGAGGAGGTGGGGGAGGGGAGAAGGAGGACGAGGAATAGAAGTTGGAGGAGGAAGGTGGGGAGGAGAACGAGGGGCTAAACAAAGGGGAAGCACATGGCTGGAGAAAAAGGAGAGCACTGGACACGGAGGACAAGGAGGGAGAATGGTGGAGGGAGGACGACGAGGGAGGAGGACGAGAAGGAAAGGGGAGCGCTGGGAGCAGGGAGCGGCGTGAGTAGACGAGGGGAAACAACGGGAGGGAGCAGAAGCAGTCACAGAGGCGAAGACGGCCAACAGGGGTCTGCAGGGCGTGCGGAACGGTGGTTCGGGACTGGCGACCGAGACAGCCAATGGGGCACGGAGGAACCCAGGGGGCTGATCCGCAGGGCCGACAGTGCCGAAATCAGAGGGTGGGGGAGAAGGGCGCGCTGGCTGGTAGGCGCGGAGGAGCTGTGCTGGCTGTGGGGGGAGGCATGGGCGCGGCGCTGTGCTCTTTCACCTTGGAAAGTTTGGGGTCACCAAACTGCCCCCTGGCCTCCGAGTTTCAGCAGCAGCAGCAACAACAGCAGCAACAACATATTTTTGTTGGTCCAGTGGACGGGGGCACATATGTATGATGATATCACCCGCCTGGTAGGTCGGCGGATTCCAGAGTTGGTGTTTGTGATGCTTCCCAGATACATGCCGCTTCATCGTTCCAAGTACCTGGCGCACGTCGTACCATGTTCTTCCGTACACTTTTCGGATCAGGGTATTCGCAGTGGCATGTCTGTTCCCGACAGTTCCCGAGTGTTCGTTCGGCAATTACTTCGCAGACTCGGAGGCCCTTGTCTTGGACCAAAGGACAGATGCCACGGCATGTTTGTTTGTGTGCGAGTGTGTGTGCGTGTGTCTGTGATTGCACGTATGCGGCTGCTCTAGATGAGGCTCCTAGTGGTGGGCAACTTCACGTGGCAGTTTTTGCTAATCGGAACGAGTTCAGTTTGCCGTTCTTGCTTGCAACAGCAAGTCACAACGTTGGGAGCGTGACAGTATGCGGCTTCGGAGCTGATGTTGGCCACGGCTACCTGTCGATGGGCCAGACAAAGATGAACCAGTTGCGAGCATGCGTTCTAGAGCATCGTGCTCAGCCGGCAGATGTGCTGCTTCTGCCAGACGCCTTTGACTCGATGGTCGTGGCACCCGCAAGCCGCATTTTGGAAGCGTTCGTGTCGATGGAAGCACGATATGGCAGGAGTATCGAGGACGCCCACGGCTAACCACCGCCACCCCCTGCCCTTTGGAAGCGCCTGTGTGGCCAAATGTTGGACCGAAGTCTTGGCTACGTGCTCCCCCAGCCGTTGTGGAACCCCTTGGGGTAACACTTCGGAAAGGAGGGGAAAGGAGGATGCGAGGGAGAAGAAGAAGGAGGAGGAGGAGGAGGAAAGCGAGTTCTCTGGATGCCGTCTTGTGGCGTCCTGGGGGCTTCTGTGCGCCGTTTGGGGGTCTCTTGGGGGCCTTTTGTTGGAGTCCATTGGGGGCCGCCTGGGCCCTCTTGGCTTCTTCTTGGGGGCCACCGGGGGGCTTCTAATGAAGGAGCCTCTTTGCCTTCGGAGGTCGTGCTGAGGGCCTCTCCCGGCATTCGTGTGTCCCCCTCTGGACGCTCTCGGGCCGTCTTGAAGGTCCGTGGGGCCGTCTTGGGGGCGTCTTGGGCGGGCTTGTCCTCTTGGGCCGTCTTGCGTGTCTCTTGGGGGCCTTGGGTCTTCTTGGGGCGGAGCCCGAAAAGGCGAGAACGCTAAAGTCATGTAATCACAATCGAGAAATTACTCGTTCTGGCCTCCTGGAAGTCCTTTTGGGGCCTTCTTGCAGCGTCTTGGGGGCCGTCTTGGGGCTACCTTGGCCGTGGTGAAGGCGTCTTGGAATCGTCTTGTAGGCCATCTTGGGCCATCTTGACGTCCTGGAGGACATGTTGGGCCATCTTGGCCGTCTTGGGGAGATTTGGTGTGGACTTTCTTGGACGTTCTGGTCTTTCCGCGCGGCCGTCGGGATCGGCCGAAACCTCCAGGGTCGGCCGGAACCCCGCTTGGATGCCCGTGGGGATCTCTTGGTAGGCCTCTCGGAGGCCTCTCGGAGAAGTCTTGTAGGTGCCCTGAGCCCCGAGGGCTCCAGGGACCCGAGGGCGCTCCATCGAAGACCGATTTCTGACCACATCCACCTCTGGATCCTCGATTCTATGATAGGCCCTCGGGGGTGGAAGTGAGTAGTTGTTCCTTCCCATGGGGCGGGGAAACTGCCCTCCTCCACCTCTGGAAAAACCGCTTTTCGCAAGGCACCTCCGGAAGTGGGTGTGGTCAGAACTCGGCCTCCTGCTCCAGCTCGTGCCCGGCGGCACGGCGGCGGGTATACGTGGGCGTGGAGGCGGGATGCGGCACGGGGCCCTGCTCCGAGATGGCCGGTCGCGCTGCGGAGCTCGGCGTCAGGACCCCCTGGGTCTACCTGAACTCGGGCCTGATCGTCGGGCGAGTCGCAGCGCTCCGGCACATGTTTGCAGAGCCTATCGACCTCGCGGCGTGCCAGAATTGCCGTACCGATCAGGAGTGGTTCGCCAATTATGCCCTCGCCCACAATGCGACGGTGGGGCTCGACTATGGGTGCGAGCTGCTGCAGAACGTCTTGGGAGTGGACGGCGTTCTCTCCGGACCGTGGGCTGCAGAGAACCACCAACCAGATGGAGTCCTCAGGATTTCTTATTTGGATGGCCGCCCAGCGATTCACAATTCTCTGACAAATACATATCCGTTGGTACTGCATTTTCCAGGCGTGGGTAAATGGGGAAGACGCGTTCCATGCGCTCGAGATCCTTCCCGCATTTGCGCGACGAGCGCCATCTTAGAGACGTTCCGAGCTTTATATCCGGAGTTGTTTCGACAGTTGGGCATGGAAGACATGTCCAACATGTCAGACGCGCTGCACCTACCGCATTTTCTCCGTCACGTGGAGGGATATTATTTTCAGAGCCCTGTGTACATGATGCGGCGAATAAAAGAAAAGGATTTGGAATTGGCTCTGATGCGCATTGGGTTAGCATTGGCTTGCACGATCATCATTGCGCAAGCTCTGTGGCCGTTGTGCCGTCGAAGGTATCTGGACTGCGGCGCTAGGGTAGGTTCACAGGACGATAAGCTCGTGTAAGACGGAAAGATACTTCGATCGATTTCCCAGCGTCAATGGCGCAGGCATTGGCCCAAGGATTGTTTGACGCGGGAGAGAAGGAGGAGGGGAGAAGAAGGAGGAGGAGGAGGAGGAGGAGGGTGTTTCTCTTATCTGGCGCAGTCCGTACGGATTCCCCGCCCCGTGTGGTTGAGAACGAAAGGGCGGCAGTCGTTTGAGGTTGTCTTTCATATTTTCGTCAAGACTGCGGCGGTTGTGTGACGATGAGGGCGGAGATTGAGAGCGGGGGTGATAGCGTTGCATTTTCTCGATAAGGGGGGGAGGGCTGTCAGAGGAGGAAGAGGTACCCATACCTCCACACTTCGCCCGTTCTCCCCTGATATGGGCCTCCCGGGAGGCCCTTGTCGCCACCGCCGGACTCGCCTCGGAGTCCGAATTCAAACGCACCCGTGGAGAAGTCTATGGAGTAGCGGCATCGGTACCTTTTGGTGTCCCCAGGCTAGTGGCTAGTCCAGAGCAGCAGGAGCAGCTTCGGCGATGCGGTCGAAGGCTGACAAGCGAGAGACATGCTACCCTCTGCGCGCGGACGTGGAACCCACGCGTTTTAGAACAGCCCGTCGCATCGCTCACACCTGGGAGTCATCGCCCCCCGTCTTCTCAACGCTCCCCTCATCATCGTCCTTTCACCAGGATGGCCTCAGGACGCCACGATCACAGTGTACGCTGCGCTTCTACTTGCAGTGCCGTTTTAATACTTGCTCCGCGTGCGGATCATGTATCAAGCATGCAGGGAGTTAGCATTACAAACAACGATG